ATTGAAAGAAAAAAAAACATATCATGTGACAAAGTTTAGTGGTAAACCAGAGGATTGGAAATGTTTTAAATTCTAACAAAAGATAATGAAAAGAAAAATAAAGAGTGAGAAAACAAACTATGAGGACAATCTATAAATACTGACTGTAAGAGCTTCTTTCGGAATATAAAAAGGAAGAAAGAAGCCAAAGTGAACATAAGTCCTTTTTAGTGAACAAAGTTGGGAAATAATAATGGGGAACCAGGTAGTGACAGATGAATTGAAAAAATAGTTTGCATCAATCTACATGGTAGAGGTCACTAATAGCATTCCAAAAATATGAAACAATCAAGGGGCCAAAGGTGGGGAAAAATAAACACAATAACTATCAGTAGACTAAAAGTATCAGGGAAAGTCATAGACTGAAAAATCCCCTGGATCTGATGGGCTGCATCCTGAGATTTTAAAGGAATTAGATCCAAAGTTAGTGGATGCACTGGTAATAATCTTCCAAGAATCCTTAGATTCTGGGGAAGTCCCAGAGGATTGGAAGACTGCCGTTACACACTTATGAAGAGAGGGGGTCAAAAAAAATATAGGCACTATTTGTTTTGGCTTAATTTCTGTCATTGGGAAAATGTTGGAGTCCATTATGAAGGGTGTAATAGTCAATCAAGCATTTAGAAATACATAATGTAGTCGAGCAGAGTCAGCATGGCTTCATGAAGGGGAAACTATGCCTTGAAAATTTATTACACTTCTTTTAAGAAGGTAGCAAGTAGGTTAGATAAAGCAGAACCAGTGGATGTAACATATTTGAATTGCCAAAAGGTATTCAATAAGGTACATAAGACTCCTTGGTAAGATAAAAGGACAAGGTGTGAGGGTAATATATTAGTATGAATAGAGGATTGGCTTTCTAACAGAAGACAGAGAGGAGGCATGGTGGCTCAGTGATTAGCACTTCTGCCTCACAGCATCAGGGACCTGGGTTTGATTCCAGCCTGGGGCGACTATCTGTGTGGAGTTTGTACATTCTCCCACGTCTGTGCAGGTTTCCTGCAGGTGCTCTGGTTTCCTCCCGCAGTCCAAAGATGTGCAGGTTAGGTGGATTGGCCACACTAAATTGAACATAGTGCCCAGGGATGTGCAGGCTAGGTGGATTAGCCATGGGAATTGCAGGATTTTAGGGTGGGGGACGGTCTGGGTGGAATACTCTTCAAAGGGTTGGTGTGAACTTGATGGGCCAACTGGCCTGCTTCCGCACTGTAGGGATTCTATGACAGAGTTGGATAAAGGAAGTATTTTCAAGATGGCAACCTGTAACTAGTAGTCCCACAAGGATCAGTGCAGGGTCCACAATTATTTAAGCTATCTATTAATGACTCAGATGAGTGAGGTGAATGCACTATTGGCAAGTTTGCAGATGCTGTTAAAAATCAATGGAAAGAGTAGTGAGGAAGATAACACACAGAGCCTACAGAGGGATATAGACAGGGTGAGTGGTCAAAAACTTGGCAGATGGAATATAATGTAGAGAAAATGTGAGGTTATGCACTTTGACAGGAAGAATAGAGGAGCTGAATATTATTTAATGGGGAAAGACTACAGCCCAGAGGGCTTGGGAGTCTTCATCCACAAATCACAAAAGAACTAGTATCCAGTTTTAGTGGGTAATAGTGAAGGCAAGTGGAATGTTGACCTTCTTTTCAAAGGGAATGGAATATAAAAGTATGGAACTCTTGCTAAAACTGTGCAAGACACTAGTCATTTCACACCTGGAACACTAAGAACAGTTTTAGTCCCCTTATCAAAGGAAATATATACTGGCATTGCAAGCAGTCCAGACAGAGTCCACTAGATAGATTCCAGGTATAGTGGGATTTTCTCATGAGAAGAGCTTACGTAAGTTGGACTTCTACTCATCTGAGTTAAGAAGAATGAGAGGAGACCTATTGAAACATAAAGATTTCCTAGGAGGCTTGACAGGAGAGATGCAGCGAGGTTGTTTCCCCTTGTAGAAGAGTCTAGGACCAGAACGCATTATCTCAAAATAAGGGATTACCTTACAGAAACAAGGAGGAACTACCTCTCTTAAAGGGTAATGAATCTATGGAATTCCTTACCATAGAGAACTGTTGAGATTGTGTTGTTGAGTATATTCGAGATTGAGATAGACAAGTTTTTACTCAGTAATGGAATGAAGGGTTACGGGGATAAAGGAGGAAGTTTGAGTTGAGGATTTTCAGATCACCCAAGATCTTACTGAGGCACAGAGCTGATTTGTTTGGGGGGAGTGGCTAATTCTACCTGTAAACATTCTGGTCTAACTGAGGATAATCAAATCTTGTCTGGTCATCACTGATTCAGAGATCATGCTCTGAGGCATAACAAATTATTATGGACCATCCCACACAGCACAGGCATGAAAAGGTCATACACTGGCAGCTTCATCAGATAGCGCCACCCCCCCCCCCCCCCACCCCAAGTGAACTGCCTGATTATTGAGACATTGAAGGCACTAACCCTCACAGAGTTCAGGGTCCCTCCTACTCTGGAGATATTGATTCACGATCGAGTCTCACTATCAGTCTACAATGGTAAAGCATCCCACGACATTTTGATATGATTTGATTTGTTTTTGAATTTTAACCTGTGATTGGCTAAGAAATGGACTCCAACAAGTTTGTGTTAAATATTTTTCCAGGAGTGTATCAGCTGATCCATCTGGAGACTAATACTTGTGAATCCTCATGTGTGTCTGTTCCATGCATGGGTCTAAATGTGCCCATGCATGCTCTGTCTGTCTGCTTAATGTCTTTTTGTCTGTTGCTGCTTGTCTGCTTTTCTGACTGACTAGCTGTCTGTCTGCACTTGTACTGTACGTGGATTGGACCTTGGGAGTGAGAACCTGACAGTGTCTGGGGTCAGCTGGCCAGGATGGAATTCATTTAAGCAGAGTTTTAAAATGGAAAAGAGCCAAATGGAAGATTCTGGTTTCCTGTTCATGTGTTGTACTCACAGGGACCCTGGTGCCATGTGTCCTGATGCTGCTGTTTTTAACACCATGGCCTCACCCTCTCCAGGCCAGCATTACTCAGCACTGTTTCTCTTGTAATCCCTCTCTCCTCTCAGTTTACACAGCTCTGTCTGATGAAAGCTACCTCGTTTCTGGGTCACTTCACTCCACATTCCTCATATTCTTGACACTTAATGGAGAAATTAAAACTGCAAGAATAAGCAGGGAAATGGGTGGGGCATCACTTGGGATCAGGCTGACTAACCTACCTGTCACTGCTCATTATTGTCTCACTGATGGGTAATAAACCACATCTGCACATTCAGAGAACAACAGAAACTCTGAAAAACACTAATTGAGCAGAAACATTGCACACTTCAGAGATTGTACACCATTTTAAACTGATTTTTAATAGATATGTAATATTTTTATTTACACAGAAATATAACATCCATCAAGATTAGGTGCATTATTGTAAATTATGTAGAGGAGTGTTTTCCAGTTACTAGGAGATAGGAAGAACCGAAGATGCTGGAGTCAGAGTCAAAACAGTGCGGAAGTGAAGGAACACAGCAGGTCAGGCAGCATCAGAGGAGCAGGCAAGTTGATGTTTCAGGTTTTCACCAGTCATGATGAAGGGTGTAAATCCGAAATGTCAACTTTTCTGTTCCTCTGATACTGCCTGACCTGCTGTGTTCCTCCAGCTCCACACTGTATTGACAGCATTTTCCAGTTACTTTTTCTGTCTGCTGCTTCTTGCTTTCTCTGTCTGTTTGCGTCTCACTCTGTCTCCATTCACTTTCTCTCTCGACTCTGTTACCCCTCACTCTCGCTCTTATTTTGCCTCTCCCAGTCTCTAGCTGTCTCTGTGTTATTTTCACTCCTGTTCTCACACAGTTTCTCACTGTATTTGGCTTCCTGTCTGTCACTTTTGCTTTTCTACCCAGTCTGTCTCTTGGTCACCTTCTGTCTCTCCCTCTAACAAACTGAGTATGGGGGTTGTAAGTAGAGTCTGGGCAGTCTCTCATTTTCAATTGATCCTCTCTGTTGGATTATTCAAGTTAACAGATTTGGATCCAATACAATAATTGAACTGATAATCTGTTCTTCTCCCAAGGTAGTTGTTGGATTCTGAGTGCTGTCCCTTTAAATGGAGGGATTGTGAGATATTTTCTTGGAGGGTGTGTGGGAGATACTGACAGAGATCTGTTGCAATGCGTGCAACTGAGCTGCCAAGTGGGGAGCTCTTATTAAACACAGTGCCTACTGTGCTGTGTCTTAATTACAGAGCAGCTTGTTTGGCTCACTGCATACTGGTGGGAGTTCTACAACATTCATCTCAATGGGCTGACAAGCTTTGTAACAATATGCCACAGAACGTTCGAGACAAGACAAATTAACTCACTGGAATTGCCAAGTGACTCTCTGTCTCGCGAATCATGTGACTCAGTTTCTTGTCCCCACACAAACAGAACAAGTATTTTGACAAACCTCTCATACCTTTGTATACTGACCGATGACTAACCCATCAATGATTTCTGTCCATCAATGATCCATAGCTCTTATCTGCCCATTACTGACACAAGGCTCTCCTCCTGCCCTGCCCATGGAATGTTCCTGCACCAATGCATTTTTGCTTCAGCACTTTCAGTAAACTGTGTAACTGTCCCATCACTCTCAGTACACTGCATTACTGTCCTGTCACCTACAAGGTACTGCATTATTGCCCTGTCACCCTCAGTAACACTGCATTACTGACCT